CAAAGGACTCGTCCAAAGCAGTCACTGCAGAGTCGGTAACGACTGAGCGCAGACAAAAAAATATATATATATATCAAATAATAATTTACAAATAAATCTGCCATATCATAGTATAACCTATAAGATTATCATAGTATAACCTATAAGATCAGTAAAGCTAGTGTGCAGCTGTTGTGAGAAGTCCCATTTCATATAGATGATCATTGATTGATTATGTGCCATCAAGTTGTTGTCAACTCTTAGTGATCACATAGATTTTCTCCATGATGATCTGTCTCTAACCTGAACTTTCAGATCTTCCAATGGTGCACTCATTGCACCACTGAGTCTATCCACCTTACTGCTGGTTGTCCTCTTCTTCTTTTTCCTTCCACTTTTCCCAGCATTAGAGTCTTTTCCAGAGAACTGGGTCTTCACATAATGTGTCCAAAATAGGATAATTTGAGCCTGATCATTTGTGTCTCGGGTGAGAACTCTGGGTTGATTTGTTCAATAATCCATTGGTTTGTTTTCCTGGCTGTTCATGGTATTCTCAGGAGTCTTCTCCAACACCAGAGTTCAACAGTGTCTCTTCCTATCCTGCTTTTTCAGAGTCCAATAAATGAGCATTAGGAATGGAATTTTAACAAATACCTGTCAGTATCATAATCTCTTTATATCAGATCAGGGTACAACAAGACTTGGAATATTGCATTTAATTCTACATAGAGTACAAGCGCATCAGTAGATGTGCTTGTACTCTTTGTAGCCACCAATTTTGTAACATTCAATCGAGGAAATGAGTATTAGTGTAGAGGCCTCCATGTCTTCTTTTCCTACTGTATATCAAATAAATGTCAAACTATCCTTCAGGCCTAAATAAATCACTATACAATGTTAACACATTTTAGACAAGTAATTCTTTGGATGCAGGTAGCTGCTGCTTTTATATTAGCTGGGGGATTTATGGCAAGGAAATTTTTTGCTCAATAAAGTTTTAGACTCTGCATTTTAGACATCTGTATACAGAAATATTTAAATTAGCCTCAGAGATCACTGTACAGTCTTGGCAAAAGATCAAATGGCTGAATTTTAGAGGAACAATGGGCCTCAGGTGGATGGGTGGGACCGTCTTTGCTGTCGTTAGGGGAAAAATCCCCTGAATAAGTTGGAAGAAGCATACGCTGCTTAATATAAACACAATGAACTACTCAGGTTTTGCATCTTGTATAGTGCTGACTGCATCCTTTTTAAATGCAAGAGGAGAAAATTAAGTTACTTGTGTCTGGTCTAAATTAACTTACAAAATTACAGGAATGTAAGCCTGTGAGGTTTATCCTCGTGGGCTGCTTGAAGTTTGAGTCTGCAGCTATTGCACTTATGTACATATGTGTCTATGTATTTCTGGTGGTAGTTGGAATTCCTCCGGACCAACACGGAGCTAAGGGGCCAGAATCAAGCAGGACAAGGCTCTACTGCAAATCAGCAAATAAACAAATGTCCCCTCTACCCTTTTGAAAACTAAACTTCTCTTGAGCTAAGATCCTATTGTGTTTAATGGAAGTGTGGTGAGAGACTAGAAAATATCTTTTTTTTTTTTAAACTGACCTCTGAAAATGGATCTGCCCTATATCTATCTTTTCCTTTTAGCGAATATCTGGAAATGCATCAAACAGAGCTCGACTATCTGTCTGAGTGCCACCAAGACACCAGAAGGAATTCCAGGCTGGTAAGAAGCTTCCCTTTCTTGAATTTAATCTGAGGATAAAACTGAATAGGGTCACAGATGTTGAGAAGCCATGGTTGCCTTAATCATGGCTTATTGTCTAAACCAGTCATCTGAGTTTTCACAATATGCTAAATCACTAGATATTATGGGCATAATCCAGAACTGATCATTTAAAAAGTTTATTGAGCTCAGTGGAAAAGTTTGTTATGGTGAAATCATTATGGCATCAGTATTCCATTTTAATTAAATGCACTTTATGCTGTTTTGGCCTTTTGGACTTCAGTATGCACAATTGGGCTATTGATTTCCCAGCGGGCTCTTTTGAAGAGTAGGGAAGGGCCTGGGTAGAACGTCCATTTGACTCTCTTCTCACTGCATTTAGTGTTATAATCATCTCTCTTTTGTCCATTGAAATCAATGGCCCTAAAAACAGGAATATTTGGAGCATGGGGGTAATTCCTTCCCATGTCCACCTCTGGGGTGGGGGGAAACAGTTCCCCCAAAATATTTTCATAGCAAAGAGGTAGTTAGACTTTTAGTTTCTCCTGAGTGTGGTTTTCTTTTATGAAACCCTGAGACATAGCAATTGTAATCTGGTGTGAAATGTATACATTTGGCATTGAAGGCTTCCGAGTTCATGCATACACATAGAGGAAATAAATGGGACTTTCCGTCCTTTGGCACAAAAAGCCTACTTCTGCTTATCCAAAGCTTTCTTCATTTCAGTAGGACAATTTAGGGCTGGAAGAGAGCTGTTTCATTGTTGCTGTTCAAATAGTTATGTAGCTCAGTCACATATCCAAATAGCTTGTTGAATTACAATGCATTTTTTATGAATGTGTTCTCTGGTCCCTGCAAAGAGACTGAGCTCAGGCAGATAGGCTGTGACCAGCTAGCACTCTCTTGGTTGAAACTTGTGGAACCTGGGTTCCTTCTTGCATAGATGATTCATCCAGCAGTGAATGGTGATTGTTCTCATGAAACGAACAGTATCACCGCTTATAAAAGTACAAGAGCTCTGAAACAATGTTAAATAAGTGTGGTTTGCAAGTGCATTGAGTATCTGTTTCTGGGTTTTTCCTATTCCTGCTTCTTATCCTGCCCCTAGCCTTAAACTTGGTATCTGAAGAGAATATTGAATATGTAAAAGCAAGTAATACAAAAAATTGGCATATAGTCAAAGAACAATATTTGGGTCATTACTGTTTCTTATAAGAACAGGAGTACCTGATTCTCTCTTTCATGGAAACAGCTTGAACAGTTCTTCTGCATTTGATCTATGCATTAATTTGCCGCATTTCTATTTCAGGCTTTCTACTATGATTTGGGCAAGGTAAGAAATTGTCTTGGCAATGACTGCAAAGCGATACACAGCAAAGTAACTTTAACATACTTAAAGACACTGATCTTTCTCTCTCCCCTGGACTCTTTCCTGTTACTTGTATTTCTTGAATACTCTGCTGTACATTGGAGAATTCTACTTGTCAGATGGTTGATCTCTGGAGATATGGTATGTTTTTTTCAGCAGTTATACCCTATGTATCTGGGTGTAATTGCTGAAAAATTACACCCTATGTATCTGGAATACATTATTCAAGTTTGCATATATTAGATTAATATGCTTGATTCATACAATGTGAGAAAACATCTGTTACAAATGGAAATTTTGCATGCGAAAAAGGGAAATAGTGTTGTTAAAACATGGAAGTAGCAGCTAGGGGTTGAATACAGTGAAGTCAAGAGAAGGAGCCTCACCTTATAAATACTGCAATATTGGTGCAAACCTACCTGTGTGGCAATGATTTTCTTTTTCACTAGCCTTTCTCTGTGATCAAGAAAATTGAGACTTTCAGGATTCTATGCTACACAACAGGAGCCCATAACAATAATATTAATAATAAATCTAAGCACAATCAGATCTGAAACTTGAGTGTTAGGTTTCAGATCTGATTGTGAAATCCAATGGTTCCTTCCCTCCTCCAAACTCTTCTTCCAACTGTGTTTTGCGCCATCCCACTCCCCTCAGCCAGGGTTGGACCTTGTTTAGTGCTTAGATGAGAGACCACCAGAACCACCTAGGGCTGAGAGCTAGATTGGGAAGTAAAAATAATATATCCCAGATGAAGGTAGTGACAAACCACTTCTGTACTATTACCAAGAAAACTGCACGTGTCCGTGCAGACCCCAGGATTCTAGTGTGATTTTAAGGACTGTTTTACCCCACCAAAGTTCCAATATTATTGACTCCTATTGCTATTGATTCACAAACATTTGAAGCATTTGTGGCTATTGGTTATCTCTAGGACATTTTTATGGCTCTGAGTATCCCAGGGGCACATTTTTTCACTTGAGTCCTTTTTTGTCACTGTCTCCTGGGTCAATATAGGGTTTTTTTTCCTCTATTGCTTATATCCATTGAAATAATGGTCCTGTAAATAAGAACATTTATTTATTTATTTTCCAAATGTGCATGCTACCAAGTCTTCATGACTCATGGGGTCTTCCAATATACTTAAATTCTGTAAAGACATCTAGAGAATTGATTGATTGATTATGTGCCATCAAGTTGGTGTTGACTCCTAGCAACCACATAGATAGATTTTCTTCATGATGATCTGTCTCTAACTGGGCCCTTCAGAATCTAGAGAATATCTAGAAAATAATAAAGCATTAAAATGTAACACTTAATAATAACAACTTCTGGGAAGTGCAATGTGATGGAAAGCCATAGGTTTTTTTTTTTTTTTTTTAATTTCAGTTGGCATATGCCAGTAATAGTGATAATAAATGTAAGCAGGTATGTTGATGCTAGCTGATCAGGAATATCCTGCATTGCCTTAACAAAGGGTTTCTGCATCACGGAACTACATTCTATATTCAAAATCAATGCGGTACTTGGAATTGTATAAATAACTTCTGGTTCATCTTTTTCTGTTCTTTCAAAGCAAATCCGCTCTGTTGAAAGATACGTTAGGAAACTGGAATTTCAAATAAGCAAGGTAAGGGGTTGGATTCTTTGCCTGCAAGTTTTATGCTGTAGTATAAACAAATCTCAACAGGGAGTATTTTTTTCACCATAGGTTGTTTGTGGGGAAATGGTATTAGGTGTTTTCTGAAAACTTTAATAAGTTTTTTTGTATAAGGAGAGGCCTTTTTTTCCAATGTCTGCATTCAGACTGATTATTGAACACTTTGTTGTTGTTTAGTCGTTAAGTCGTGTCCGACTCTTCATGACCCCATGAACCATATTGCGCCAGGCC